CTCCCTCTCCTTTCCTCTCTCTGAAATCAATAAAAATATATTTTTTAAAAAACACAGACAGTAAAAGTAGTTTTAAAAAGCAGAAGTATGATTGGGTCAACTGACGAAACTGAAAAATAGAAGGTAGATCAGATAATCAATATTAAGTCTCCTAAACATGATAACTACCCTGTGGTTTTATAAGAAAATGCCCTTGTTCACAGGAAACACATAATGAAGTATTTAGGAGAAAAGGGGCATACAACTTACTCGCAAATGGTTCAGGAAAGAAAATACACAGAGATACACAGAAATAGAGAAAGAGAGACTATGAAACGTAAAAAACAAATGGGCAACCCTGCCGGTGTTGCTCAGTGGTCAGAGCATCAGCCTGAGCACCAGTGGGTCACAGTTTCAATTCCCGGCCCCATCAGGGCAGCTCAGGAAGCAGCCAATCTATGTCTCTCTCTCTCCCCCGCTCCCTTCCTCTCTCCCACGCTCTCTAAAAAAAAATCGATGGAAAAAAATGTCCTTGGTGAAGAGTAACAAAACAACAACAAAAACACACAAATGGGCAAAATGTTAATAATAAGTGAATCTGGATAATGGGTATACAGAAGTTCTTTGTACTATTTTTCTACTTTTCTGTATGCTTGAAACTATTTTTAATTTTGAAAGGAAGGCGGTAGTAACTTAACATCAGAGTAAAGAGTAGAACTTACCTCAATATTTTCTTCCCCAAATTTCTCCACAGCTTTCTCTTCAGAAAGACCACAAGCACCATATTCCAAAGGAGTAAACACAGTTGTTGGAACGTTTTCATAGTCACACTGTTTCAAAATGGAGAAGAGTTACAAGAGAAACTATAACTCTAAAAAGGGTATGCTTCAAAACAGTTCAAAATTAGGGGAGGGAAACAGACTAATACATTTCTACCAAAAGTATGGGAAGTCACAATCCCAGATATAAACCTGCTATGAGAGAGCCATGAATTGATGGGATGAAGTTTGGGCAGAGGTTCAAAGTCTGGCAAGACTAGTCTTGAGTAATGATTCATGCGATGTTAACAAGGACGTGCTTTCTCTCCCTTTAATAAAGCAGCCAAAGCAACATGAGTGTACCCGAAGCTGATGGTCTCCGTATCGGTGACTTTGATGGCAATTTAATTAAGTAAATGCATATTAAGAGTCATAGAAAATATTTTCTACCTTTTGGCCCAATAACCCCACCCTTAGGCATATATAATACTAACTTAACATACAGAAACAGCTGTGTGCAGTAACTGGGCAACGCTGTAGTTCTCTTCAACAGTGGGGTAGCTTTAACATGCAAATAAGGAAGTGGCTCTATAGTACACACACTCGATGTAATGTTACACAGCCATTAAAATGAAATTAAATCCACAGAAACAAAAAAAGTTAATGATTCTAACTATTTCCAAAGCGTATTTTATGTTAATAGGCATAGATGATAAAAGGGTTCTGAAGTCAAAGAAGTTGTAAAAGGCTGTATTAAGCAAATAAAGAAGTTTCTCAACTACCAGATTTCTCAGAGCCTTTAAAATGCTGATGTGAACTGTGAAAACTGTTATTATGTAAATGCAAAATATGTTTGTAAATGTTCTTTGGTAAAAAGCTACCCAGTCACATTTGCCCACAGACCTGAGCCACTCTGAGTTTGAAACATGAGAAACTGAATTCTCACTCTCTGAAACAGTAGGGGGAAATCTTTAAAATGTGCCTCCCTCTATTGTTCCCTCTAGAAACAATAAACATAATCCTTTTCCTCCAAGAAGAACATTAACCTTTGGAGTTCTAATTCATCAGTCAAGACAGACACCCACTAACAGCCACAATGGTGTACTGGGGACCGGATTTACCTCCCTGCTTTACACAACTAGAAAATCAAATATGAAGCAACACTTTCTAAACACTGTGCAACAGCTGCAGGGCAGAACCCTGGAGGATGGAGCTGCACAATGAGTCTCCTGAGATCTGGGCTGAGTGCTGACCTGTAAATGTCTCAGAGGAAAGTACTCACAGGTGAGTAAAGAAACACTGGAAAGCAGTAGGCCCCCAAATGACCAGAGCTATAACAGGGCTGAAATAGTACCTGTTCCCACATTCAGAGTAGAAAGAATTCATCATGTAAAAGGAACGGGGTAGAGACCCCCAAAGGGCATCAATTTAGTGGTGAAACTAAATCAGCCCTAGGTGAAATGTTGCTGTAGCTAGACCCTAAAAAAGCTTAAAAGCAAGTTACAAAGGGATAAAACTAATTCTATGTAACTTAATGGGCTGTCAGAACGAAGTCAAACACTGTATAAAGGAACTCAACAAAACCCAGCACTGAACAATGTAGAATGTACAATATCTGCATGTACCCAACAGTAAGTATCCAGACATGTGAACCAACCATGAGAAAAATCAACCAATAGAAATAGACACTGAAAAAAAGATGATGGAATCAGCAGAGGATATTAAAAGGGCTATTATAAATACGTTCTGTCTATTCGACAAGGTAAAGGAAAACATCAACCTGCTGAGGAGAAAAAAGAAAAATTTATTTTAAATAAATAAAACTTGTAGAGATGAAAAAGACTATTTGAGGCTAAAACCATACAGATTGGGATTAACAGCCCAAGACAGTGCAGAAGGGAAAAAATCAGTGAATTTGAAGACATGGCAATAGGCTCTCTAAGAAAATGAAGCACTGTGATGGGGCAAGGGTTGGGGAGACACAGGCTCAAGAGCAGAGATCACAGAATCGTATCAAGTGAACCAACATTCCTTAACTGAAGGCTAAGAACAAAAAGGGGAGGGACAGAAAAAAAAAATAATTGAATGGCTGAAAATTTTCCAAATTTGGTGAAAACTATAAACAGATAAATCCAAGAATCTTAGACACACCACCAGCAGAAAAATAAAGAAAAGCATGCCGAGGCATGCAATAATCAAGCTGCTAAAGAACAATAGAAAAAATCTTAAGAGTAACAAAGATAAAAATGATAGCACACTTCTCTTTTGAATCTCTGCAACCACAAGACATTGGGCAAATCATTAAAACATGTAAAGAAACCCTGTGAACCTAGAACTCTATATTCAGTAAAAATATCTTCCAAAAAATGAAGACCAAATAAACTTTTTTCTTCAGACTTGGGGAGCCTTCCCCACCCCATTCCATGTTCAGTTCTTACTTAGGTATTCTTAGTCCTAGGGTTTCCTTCCTTGTTTAACATTTGAGAGAGAATTCACATACCATAAAAGTCACCTTTTCAAAGTTTACAATTCGGTGGTTTTTAGTATAGTCACAAAGTTATGCAACGAGTACCACAGTCTAATCCAGAAGATTTTATCACCCGAAAAAGAAACACTATACCCATTAGCAGTCACGCCCCCATTCCCCACCCTCACCACCCCCCCAGCTAAATCACCATGAGCAGACATGCACTCAATAACTGTTCCCATGAAACAAACCTAAGAGTTTAATTTCCTACACTGATTTTTAAAAACCACATTAAAATATTAATAGAACACATTCAACATTCCAAGAGCAGAAGACATATTTTTAGAAAGGACAGGGAAATAAAGCCTGAACACTGGTTTAAGCAGCTCTGTACACTGACATTATTACCTAGGTCCCCAAATCCTTTTACATAGCCTAGATAGGTGCCATAACAAGACTTCTTAATTTGGTAATAATAAAATTGATAGAAAATGTAACTATTATGCATATATGGAACATAATAGTGCTGAAACTTGATTAATGGAGCTCATTTTATTCTTCATGGGATTCCAAGAGTGACAGTTTTCTTAATCACAAAGGAATAGCATTCTTAACAATGTCGTTTGGAATTCAGTATAAAGCACATCTAGGATGCCATCATCAAAATAACTATAGCCTGGCTGGGTGTGGCTCAGCAGTTTAGTATCGACCTAGGATCCAGGTGATCGGGGTTCAATTCCCGGTCAGGGCACATGCCCAGGTTGCAGGCTCAATCCCCAGTCGGGGGTGTGCAGGAGGCAGCCAATCAATGACTCTCTCATCACTGATGTTTCTCTCTCTCTCTCTCCCTCTCCTTTCCTCTCTCTGAAATCAATAAAGGTATATTTAAAAAAACACAAAAAAAACACTATAAATTATTCAAGACCGGGGAAATTTCCCAACTATCCCTAAAGAGAAAACTGGGTGCATTATTAAAAACAGTGTTTTAGTGGGTAACAGCATGACACTCACCTTGACAGTGGAGCCAGCATAAAGCCTCTGAGCCAGCAACCTCCCTGCCTGGATCGCTACGGGGGTGAGCTCTGGCTTCCCCTCCAGTATATCGCCAATGGCATAAATGTAAGGCACGTTGGTCTGCTCTTCATCCGTGACAGGTATTTTTCCATTCCTGCAAATTCATTCAGTTAAAAATCATTAATTACCACTATTAATTAAGTAGAACAAAATCCCATTTATCCTCAAGAAGCCCAAAATTGTGACTCCAGCTGAGGGCAATGTTCTAATGTATTTCCAAATAAAACAACTCAGAGGAAATAAAAACTTAGAGACCATTCTCACTGCTCTTTTGAAAACTAAGGGAATAAGGAAACTATTAAGAACCCCTGGAGTGGGAGAACTAGAGCATAGCGGCTGAGACTAAGAATTCTAAATGGTAGTGACCAGGCCCGTGAGTTACACCTCAGCAGTCTTAGGAGAGGCACTTGCCGTCCCCAAGCCTCATTTTCCCACCCACAGATGGGGATAATGATAACGGCAGTAGCAGGGAAAGAGGAAGAGCGCCTTCCTCTACCTACCAGAAGGGGCTGTGAGGAGCCAGTGAGAGTGCGCATAAAACTCAGCACAACAGGCCAGAGGGTTATGAAAAAAATGAAGGAAAAATAGTCCTCCCAGTAAGATCAGAAATCTCTTCTCCTGAATAAATGTGGTTCCTGCAAGGATTAACTAACAAACAGCTTGCACTTCCCCAAGGAAGCCTGCCATGCACAGCAGGTGCTTTTACTTGGATGTACGAAAGGCGACACTGGGAAATCCCCCATGCCGCTCCCATAAGCACATACCAGAGTCTCAGTTATCCGGTACAGGGGTATAGTCCAAAGGATTTTAACTTTTAAAACCCTTGAAGAAATACAAGCTTTCATACTTGCAGCAGAAATGTAGTGACCACTCTAGTGATCCTAAAACCCAGCAGCTTTAAACATGGTTCAAATCTGCATACTGAGTGAAGCTAAAACACACACCAAAATTAACTGGGGGCTGGATCTTTTTCTGCACACGGATTCATTAAGGAAACAAAAAGCAAGCCAGTACAGCTCTTTTAGATTTTGAAAGGATGCAAAATAAAATAAAATAAAGTACTGTGAGTGGCACTGGAAGACTTTTTCTGAGCTTAAAAAGGGAACTCCCCAACTATGACAAAAATTGACTTTAAAAATGTAAAACGCCAGTAGTAATCAATATTGTAAGTACCTGAAATAGTATACAGTAAGATACAGAAAAGATTTTTTTCTTACTTTTCATTTATCTTTACCCCCACGGTTTCTAAGCCAATTTTTCTTGTGCAAGAATCTCTTCCTATTGCCAGCAACACCTGAAAAATGAATATATAGTGACTATAACAAAAAGGCTTTGCATGAGTTATTTAATCATTATTTTTTCTGCTTATTAAGCCAACCTGATTTATCCAGACCTGGAAAGAAATATTTCATTAAGAAAATAATGTAAGAGTTTAAACAAATTACAATCTTTAAAAAAAATCCTTTAAACATGATATAGCAGAAATCCTTATCTATTTATTAAGAAAAACGGAGTTAACAATTCCTTCACAAACCTAGATAAGATTAAAGACAAAGACAGCACAGCCTCTGACTGAATGGGAATAGAACCAAGGGTTTTGGGAACAGCAAACAGCCATTTCAAGTACGCAGCAAATACCCAACAAGCACACTATTTGCTTTCTAATGAAGTAATGACCTGGGTCCATTCCTTACCGTATTGTACTCTCCTTCGATGATTTCGTCACTATTGCTGGACTTAGCTATCACCCTGAGTCGGCCTGGTGTCCCTGCTTCAATTTGTTCAACCTACAAAAGTGATAAAGTTTTACTCAACAATAAAGACATGTATCAAAGTGGATAATTATGTCTTCCCTTTCTATCTGGTTAACCCCAAGTTAAAATACAGAATCTGGTTTAAAAGGTCTTTCATGTCCCATTTAACTCGTCCGAACATCATGAGGATGATTCAATTCTCTTATTAATCCCTTTTCTCCCTGTTTAATGTTTGCTAGAGAGGCTTTCTTTCAATAGTTCTTATGCAGAATTCAGAGAAAAGGGAAGGGGAAAGGCAGAGAAAGCAGACTACAATCCCAAAATCAAACCAATGACTTACTGTCTTATAAGTCACCCAGAACCACTAATCCCCTGGAGAGTCACTGCTGCTCAAATTCAGGTTCTCTTTTGACTACAGATGCTCAGCTTTGTCGACAAAGGATAGACATGGGGTAGGTCAATCACCATACAGATAACATCTAAAATGCCCTAAAAACCATAGTGGGCAAGTATGTGTATGCGTTTGTCATCACTAGGGGATGTCCTCAGTTCTGAAGGACACAGGGAGGAAACGAGCAGCCCTGTTCTTGTGCTATGGTGAGAGTGAACATACTAGCCTACTACACATAGAGGTCAACAGTAACTTACAGACTGGGTAACAGTGAGAAACCCTATTACCTAGAGGCTTCTGCAAATATGTAGTGAGCCTCTGCTGTCTGTGAATGACAGCCAAATCATGGGTTTCTGTAAAATATTTACTGGGAGAAATCCGTAAAAGTAACCTATAATTTCTACCCTACCTTTAAAATACAACCACTCTGTATGGGAAAAATGTCAAGGTTGGTTTTATTTTCAACATCAATAGGTAGTAAAGATTTCCTTCTTGACTCCCTTTTCTTATACATTTAAGCTCCTTTGAACATGCTAAAAATGTCTTTCCTATTTAAGGTACAATGTTCTAATCTGTGGAGAGAAGTTGAACTGGTCCATGGCTTGCTTAGATTTGCTTAAAAATGATAAGGGCCTCACCTCTAATTCCTTCTTGCCTTATTCACTTTTCTGTTCCAGTCAGGCCTTTTCTGTATCCCGAACAATTTCTGCATTTAGAACAATTTTATTCCCCACAGCAGTTTTGCTCATACTATGTTCTTTGCCCAAAATGCACTCTATCCCTCCTTTCTGCAGAAGGCTGCTGCCACTCAGTCACTTTATAATACAGTACCAGCAAGTGTTCACTACTAGCGTCTGGGAGATCAGACACCCTGGTAACCCCAGCAAAATGTTATGTGCACAGACAGTTTTATTTCACCAGGGATAGTCCACCAGGTTCTCAAAAGAGCCCACAACTCCCCAAATGTTAGGATATTATCAAGGAAGATGTTACTTTTCTATCAGTGCAGCATATACAGATAGCCACTGTTTTCTAATCATATACCTCTACTCCCTAAAAACAGCTACAGCAGGAAGTTTGCTACTCAATCCTCACAACCATATACTGAGATAGATTCATCTTAGACTTACTCTGAGCCAGGAACTGTCTTTCTAATTGTAAGCTAATGTGATAGTCACAAAAACTGAGATAGGTGCTCTTACCATTCCAATTTTATAGAGGAAACTGAAGCTCAGAGAGGTTAAGTAATCCCCCCAAAATCATATAGCAAGAAACTGGCAGAACAGTATTACATTCAGGTCATTCTGACCCCAATGCTCCATGCTCTATCAACATTAAGAGATTCATGGTTATGCATGAAACTACATCAACTCACTGAGCAATTTTTAAAATCACAGCTAAAATTCCTTAACTTAAACAAAACAGTCCCATCCTCACCGGCCCTAAAGGAAACTAATAATCTGAGATACATGAAGTGCTTGATCCTGTCACACTTACATATCAAACATCTGTGGTAATGTTAACAAGTCCCAATGTAACTTGGCATATTGTTCGGCCTTTTCAAAAGAAGTTTAAATGAGCAAAATAGGCCATCGACATAACAAACCAGATAACTGTTCTCAGGGAAGCAGGAATAATACAGCACTTCTATTGCCTACACTGTACACCAATGAGAAATGTCTTATGGGAAAATTTTTTAAATCAGCCTAGTCTTGAACTCTTACTCATTAAATCACTGGTGTAGATGTGTAACAGATGAAAGATGATAAAGGAATGCATAAAGGGAAGTGTGAAACAGAAGAGAACCAAAGGTAAGAAAGTAGAGAAGGAAATGAAGAAATTGTTATTCTGCAAGTAAGTGCAAAGCTATTTAGCTGGTAGGCAGTACAAGTTTATATACCCCTCTCACACAATTGAAGGATTACAGCATTCCTAATGTTACCATGCTGAAAGGATGCTTCGATTGCCCACCCAACTCTCTCTCCTAACTTTTAACATGAGTATAGAATCAACAAACTTACAGGCAACTCCACTTACCTTTATTGGCACAAACTGCCTTATAAACTTGACACCATGTTCTTCCATATGTTCACCAATTTTGCTGGCCATGTCCTGGTCAAATCCTCTAAGGAGAATGGACCGTACCATAACAGTGACATCTAAACCAATGCCAGCAAGAAATCCAGCACATTCCAAAGCGACATAGGATGCTCCGACCACCAGGGTCTTACCCGGGCAGTAAGATAAGGAGAAAAGGTCATCACTGAAAAGAAATTTTTGTAAAAAAAGGAATAAATAGAAAAGTGTTCATATGTGAATAAAGACCAAATCAAAACAAGTATTCTTACTTTCTTATGAGCAAGACACTTTTCAGATTTAAGACTTTTAATTAGCTTCACATGTAATATATGAAAAGTTTTCATAAGGTCTTAGACTTTCCCTTTTTTGCCACCCAGTTGCTTGGGGAGCAGCTCGGGCTACCCTGGCCTCGCACAGAAACCGTGTACTTCTGACAGTAGTCCAACTCACAGGCAAACAAACCGATTCGGAACTGTCTGGAACAATTCTCACTAATGTGTTTAATATCCTACACGTTGAAAACCCAAACCCTCATCCTGCCACTCAGCTCCCTCTGTGGTGGAAAGCCTGTTATTTCTTATCTGGAACACCAATTATCAAGAGTGGGGAGGACTGGGAAGACGCAGCATGCTGGGTTGTGCCGTAAAAGCCAACTATGAACAGTAAAATCCAACAAGATCGCCTCGAGTGAAGAATACAGAAGACATGTGATATCACAGAAGCACCATTAGAAAATGAATTTTTTAAAATATGAAAAGGGAGCCTATTCAAGATAACAAAGACAACAGATGCCATATGAGCTGCCCCTATATGAAGCACAAAGGAAATAAATCATATCCCTCCCTCCCCAACCAAAAAGGGCGTGAAAAAAAGTAATTTATAACATAATCAGATACTCCTGAAAAAAAAGCATCCAAGAGGACATATTTATCAACAATCCATCTTCATTTCTTCATAATTTAAAACATCTGATAAACTATGTCACCAGTATTATCACTTGATGGGCAAAAATAAATCACTTGGCAAACCTTCTTGCTTGACTCGCTTATTTCATGAGATCCATCTGCACTGACACTGCAACCATTCAAATAACAATGGGTAGGGACTAGGGTCTGATAAATCTAATTCTTTTAGTGCCCACCCTGCAAGTGTCAAAGCGTAAGGTATTAGGTGATCCTATGTGTATTCATAAGTATCATTTTACAAACTGTTTGTGGCTATCCATCTGATTTTATGTTATACATTTATAAAATATACTCACATATATATAAATTCAAAATAAGCATACTTCTAAATGTTAGCAGTGATGTAAACTCTGAGTGGTAAGATGACCAGTGTTTATAGTTTTGAATTTTTTAAATGTTCTCTTGTCCTAAGTAATTTTTTCTTTCTCTTTTTCCCAGTCCCCTGCCCCTTTGGGCAAAAATATGGCCAAAAAAATCCACTAAGCTCCAGGAAATGGACAGAATGGGTTTGAAGAAAAAAGTAGAAGCATAAATCCACAGTGGGTTTTCTCTCCTCCCTGCAATTTGCCCCTTACCTGCTGATGCAATATTCTTTGTCACCAGGGATGCCCAAGTAACGTGGCCTCTCACCCGTAGCGATGAGAAATCTCTCTGCTGAATAAGTTTTTTCTTGGCCTTTGTTATTCATTGTCTACAAAGGAACCAAATGCGTCAGCCTGTAATAGTTCTTCTGCCATAGAACTGTACGCTTTATAGTTAACAAAGGCCATTCGTCACACTGTCCAATGATTTTCATAAAAATCTGGTAATGCCTAAGAAATACGAAGGCTCTGAGTAATGAAGGGACTTGCTCAAGGTCCCAATGCAGTAAGTGGCAGAGCCAAAACTCAAATCCAGGTAGTGTGGCCCTGAATTTAGTACTCTTCCTCTCTACCCCACCAAAAAGAAAGGCCCATAAGGAGATGTGATGGCAAAGTCACCACACTGGATACTCCAGGTCACAGCGGCCATTACTTTCAATAGGATAATTCCCTTCTTTTCCTCCCCCACCTCCAACCAAAGCTTAACACAAACCCAAAGGAGCTCCTCAGGCTGTCTTGCAATTACCTTAATCCTATGAGGCCCCACAAACTGCCCATATGCGTTCTCATAGGTGACTTTCTTCTCCCGCAGCGCCACACGGTAGCCCCAGTTCAGAGAGCCAATGTGATTCTGTACGGCTTCCGTCATCTTCCCCCAGTCATGTCCAACTGTGCAAAGTAGTAAGATAAAACGTTTAGCTTTGCAGTAACTACTCACATGGAACACTAAGGGCAAGGCCTTCATTCCAAGCACCTAAATGACCATTTCATCTTCAAGCCGTCTTTCCTTTTCAGAAAACTACCATAATACTAACTAATGCAAGGCTTCCTGGCAATTCTTAAAACTAAAATAACCGGCTGGCCAGTGCTGCTCAGTGGTTTCGCATGGACCCACAAACCAGGAGGTCACAGTTTGATACCAGTCAGGGCACATGCCCAGGTTCGGGCTCAATTCCCAGTTGGAGGTGGGCAGGAGGCAGCCACTCAATGATTCTCTCTCATCATTAATGTTTCTGTCTCTCCCTCCCTCCCTCTGAAACCAATAAAAACATATTAAAAAAAAAGTCAGTCTTTACCACTTTAAAAAAAAAGATTTAAATAACCATTTTCAATGTTTTTCTTCTTTATCTAGAAATGAACGTGAATTTTACTTTGGGTTGTAAATACCAACTGCTGGGTGTTGTGGTAAGGCTTAGGACTCTGTGTAATAATCCTTAAGGGACTCTGATATAGGCAGGTTTGCTGTTACTAAACTGGTAACAGTGTCTAGACCAGGGGCTACAAACTACGGCTCCATGAGTCAAATCCAGCCCATCACCTTTTCTGTAAATCAAGTTTTACTGAAATACACCTGTGATCATTCATTTACATATTATATAGGGCTGCTTTTCGTGCTACAATGAGAGGTGAGTAGTTGTGACAGATACCACATGGCCCATGAAGCCTAAAATACTTACTATCTCGTACAAAGTTTGCTGACCCCTGGTCCAGACAGAGAATTTTATGAGTCTGTCTCACTGTCCGCAAAATCCCCATCTCACAAAACAGAGGAAGATTTTTTAAATTCTACCATAAAACTAATCTTTTAAGTCGAGGCACTAATATAAGATTCCAATGGATAAATTCAATCCTTTTGTCATTCATAAATTAGTAACTTCTCAGTGCCCAGGAGAAAAGAGGCTAGACATAAAATACGCTCTAGTGGTAGGAAGAGGCAGGTTCTGGGAAAGCTATGGTTCGGAAGGAATGGCAAGAAAATCAACATGCATGGAAAGCCCATGCCATGGAAATGGGCCTGAGTCTTAGATTCAGGGGTAAGTAGCTCGGCCACACAGGAAGCAGCAAAACCAAGTCGATGAGAACTAATGGCCAGCCCCTAGGAGAAGGAATGACAGCACAAAAACTGGTTTCTGGCATCCTGGAGACGTCCATAGGTTATACATACTTGATCCACAGAATCGTAAAATGTTAGCACTAGACCAAACCTTGAGAGATCAGTTCAAATTTTTTTTTTTAAGTGACTGCAGAGACCACTGCTGTGATGCCAAGAGGACTTGGTGCTGGGGGGAGGGGTACCGGAGTGCTGCAGGGACCAGCCTATGGGTCTGGCATCTGCCTACTACCTCCACAAAAAGAGGAGGCAGGAATCACTGTTTCTCCATCAGGAATGGAACTGAACAGTTAACTCATCCCCAGGTGCCAATCATCTGGCTACAACAATTACCAACATTTTACCAATCTCATTTCATATACCTCTCTTTTCTTAAACTAGAATATTTACGCAAATCCCAGACATCATTTTGTTGGTGGTGGTTTGGGTTTAGTTACAGTGACTTAGGGATGCCTAAGGCCCAGTAATGCTAAATATCCTTCACTACAGTTCCTTACAATTAGGAGCTGTCAAGGCCAATGTGTCATTAACACCCCTATGAAGAAACAATGACCCAGATCAAAGGGAGGATTCACTTCTGAAATTTCACAGTTGTAGAACTACTAAATGGACTATCCTCTGCTAATCCTACAGGAGGGACCATATTCTAAAAGACGACATAGGTAGGATTAAATAATAGCATCAATAAATTCAAATATTTCAAAGACAGAAATTCAAAGTCAATGATTAGACCTAATCTAATCTCAATTCTGTTAAAGCCTTCCTTTGTGGCTATCAGGCTGCCCCGATTCCCAAACTCTTCAAACCCCCTTTTCTACCAGAGTTCCTTCATCCTCTGATAAAGGGGGCAGCCACTACCATCCGAGGGGGCAGCCACTACCATCCATCCCCAATTTCTAGTGTGATTATGCTAAGGCAGAAGGATCTTAAAAGTTCTACCCACCAGTCTGGGACTCAGCATCAAGGCCCTCTAGCTGCTCCTATGCTTCTGACCTTGCATTCCAGTCCGGGAACTGAGTTTCTGGTCTTGTAAAATCCAAATTCCTACTTTATATACTAGTGGGGGGTAACTGGATCCTTGTTGGACTATGGGTAGTAATGTGCTTGGAACCCCAGTTCTCTAGGGCTGCCCCGTCTTTTGATCATGCCCCAAATCCACCGCCTTCCTGCATTCCCTACTACCTGGATACTCCACATCCCCACACTCGCCCATCTGTTGGCCTAGCCCCAGCATTTCTCCTAGGCCTCCTGATTCTGCTGGCCTAGTCTACCAGTTGTAACCCAATGCTAAGCCTCTGGAATGCAGACTCTAGCTGGCCAGGCAGGACTCGTGTTTCACCTGGGTGTGCTCCTGTGCCCACCACAGCAACTGGAACTTAAGCCAACTCTGTTGCTCCTTCTCTGTCTCCAGCCCACTACAGAGAGCCAGGCCATACCCTTAGATTTGACAATAGTAATCAGACTAGCAGAACTACTTAGCATCTTTAATATCTTCAGCGCACCTTCCATGTGAACTTCAAAGCTCCTAAAGAGGCACGAATTACCTCCATTATATAAGCACAGGGAAATGAAGGATGAATGGCCTGCCCAAGGCCACACACTAAACCCAGTGGCAGACACAGACACACTATATGTGAAAATGTCAGGTGCGTGGAAGAATATATCTCCAAACTGTAAGCCCCCGATTGCAAACCAATGAGCTTGCTTTCTTTGCATTGACAATGAGATTCTAAAACTTCCCAAATACTTAATATTTTGAAGGTATATTTAATTCTTGAGCATAGAATTCAAATAGAGAAATCTGAAAAATATAAAGCCCATAAATCTTCCAGAAAGGACCAATTCATCCAGTTTACATGGCTGAGCTCAAGTAATTTTTTCTTAGGCCTAGACTTTCTCTGTACATTCTCCATTTGGAGCTTCAGAGAAAAGGCAGGTCACATGCTGAATCCCAGACCTGTCACTCCCCCATCACTGGGAGGATTCAGCTGTGCTGCCTGGCCCAAGTCCCTTCCTCCCTCACCACGCTGGGAGCTATTTGCAGTGTCAGAGAAGACAGCCTTCCCAGAAAACTGGAGCACTGTTCTTTGTTCAAGGACAAAGAGATTAGATGTGTTTCTATTTGAAAAATGCAAAATAAGCCTTCCTGCTTTATCTGTAGAGAACATGAATCAGCAGCCTCTAGGGGTTTCTAATTTGAAAAATACACCTCCAAGTTTCCTTCTTCCTCTAAGATGTAATGACATAAACATGTGTCTAAATCCACTGATTCTTCACAACAATCATTTTAAATACAAAAAGGAGGAAGGTAATTACTGCTCCCCAGTGGTGGATGCTGGCAGGTCCGGCAGGCCACTCCTACAAAGCCCCACTCTGGTTCTCACAGCTAGGCCAGGCTTCAGAAGGCCCAAGGCTTAAAAGGAAAAACTGAAGATAACAATAAAACACTGGGCTTAGATTTGGGAAGAGTGAAGGGATTTAACTGGAGGCTCTCATCAAAGACTTGGGAATTGTTTCTGCAGCTGACAAATACAAGGGGTGAAAGGTATAAAAACAGAAAACTAGACTATATTTCTACCTCTACCTTAAAATCTGGAAAGGGGGAAGAAACACAAAGGAGGTAAAATTGTTAAATTGGTTGGAAGATACTTTTTGTAAAGACAGACAAATAAGACAACCTTGATTTTAAGTTTTAAAACCCCATGAAATTCAGGGAGTTTTTGCTGGTTTTAATGTACAAAGTGGACTATGCTTGTAGTGGCTCTTTATTACCCCCATTGCAGTGCATTTATTAGTTCCCTATTATTTAATTTAGAAACAAATTCAACATGAATAATCATAGACAGTGCTTACTTTTATTAGATAACAGTGAAAGAGATATTCTTTTGCTGAAAAGAAGACTTACCAAATTTAGCAAGTTATATTTCACCACCCACCTGATTACTGAATCTATTAAAATACTCAGTTGGCCCTACTAATAAAATTCACATTTAGCAGAGTCCTACTCTTCTTTCTTATCTTTTTAAGATTCTAAAGACCCAGGAAACAGCCTTCTAAAGGCTCTGAGGAAAGAGATATAACCCCAGGAAAATTTTTAAAGCAACTGATTTTCTAAGATTCCAGACTTGGAAAAAAGTACTGTTGATTTTAAATGAGAAAGAAGAGCATCAATAAAGAAAGCATCACTAGTTTGAGTGGAAGCAAATTTTTTTCAAAGCATGTATGTATGTCTTTTTTTAAAAAAAATAATAAACTATTAACTAAAACTCAAAAAAAAAGCCACAAAATAATTTACCGTACCTATTGGCTGGAAGATTTTCCTCAAATGTCCCATAACCCATAGATCTCAAAATTAAAATCAGCCCGGCCGGGCGTGGCTCAGCAGTTGAGCATCGACCTAGGATCCAGGTGATCGGGGTTCGATTCCCAGTCAGGGCACATGCCCGGGTTGCGGGCTCAATCCCCAGTCCGGGGCATGCAGGAGGGAGCCGATCAATGACTCTATCATCATCGATGTTTCTCTCTCTCTCTCCCTCTCCTTTCCTCTCTCTGAAATCAATAAAAATATATATATTTAAAACAACAACAACAAAAAAAACTAAAATCAGATAGGGGCTGGAGTTTCACTCTCCAAGGACACAGTGACCTAGGTCATTAATTAGCCAGGAACCTGTGCCAGGCCTCATGTTATTCTCCTCCCAGATAATGCAACCTACTTTCTAAAGTCAACAAATTCCTCTTCATCTTTTCTAGGGTACTCAATATTTTTAATCTGACAAAGACTAACCATCCTCTTCTCAACAAACAAGCCATCCCTCCACTCCCAAAATATCAGCTCATGAAACAGGCATCTTTGAATTGAGAAAAACGCAACAGCTTCAAAGGAAAGTTAATGTAATTTGTACCCCTCTATGAAACTCTCTATAATGAGAATATATTTGAAAGAATTCTGTTTTCTAGTAAAGAAAGATACTCCAAGTGCACTGTTCTTACCATAATAGCTCTGTAGCTACCTGACACAGGATAACTGCAGTAATTTTATCCATTAAAAATGTAAACAAAAACAACTTCCAGATTATTGCTAGTCTCATAAAAATGGACATTGCACTGCAAGATCACAGCTCCAACCCCCCAAAGCACAAACCCAACAATAGCTTCCCCCCAATACCTGTCTCCTCGACATTCCATCCATAGTTCCGAGAGTCTCGCAGGGCTTGTCCTAACAAAGCTGCTTGGTGCATCAGTTTCTTCGGTATGCAACCCACATTCACACATGTTCCTCCAAGACCTGCAACAACAATGAGAAATCATAACCTGCTTTGCAATCCTTCAAAGAAAAGGTCCACAATTATTACTATTCTATGAACCACAATACATTTGCTTAATGTAGCCAATACTACTTATACAAGTTTATTCCTAAGTCCTTTGACATTTCTAAGTTCAGACAGCCTTATATACCAAACACAGAGACATCCAAACACAATACAAAAATGAGCAGATTTCCACATACTTCAAAGATTCAAAATTAACTGACTGCTGATAAAGATGCCAGAAATTGAAATTTTACTTTGTGTAGAACCCCATACTTGCCATTGAATCTATGAGAACTGTCTGATAAAGGGGTTGTGAAACTGAGCATAATTAAACTGCAGTGGGTCTGTAACTACACATAAAATTTGATGTATATGAACATTTTATAAACAGCATTTTTATTACTATTTTATTATTAAGGAACCCACCTCTATGACTGTCATGAAGCCCAGGCTGGGTCCCAGTGACGTGTTCTGGAGTTAACTACACTGCACTCCGGACTTTCTGGTTACAACCACTATCTTCTCTCTCTACCTCAAATGAAAACTCAGACTCGTAAGGCCTCAATCCCTGCCCTCCTATTCCTGAAAGATGCCAAAATCAACTGTGTGGGAGGCTTTTTCAGAGGAGAAGATGACTTAGTCTTCCCAGAGACAAATCCTCTGCTTTGCTTTATGAGGCAGATAGCAATCCAAACCACGGACAAGGTTGGGACCTGCGCAGGCCTCAATATATGAGCATTTTTTAAAGAAGGAGGTGTGGTCGTTAGCTTTCACTCTCATAAAAGGATTCATTAAAAAAAAGTTTAGCATGCTTGAGCTTAAAACATGGTGATAGCTGTCTTCATGAGAGTAAAATGTAAGCAGGTGGGGAGGTGAACAAAATGGTATGAATTAGCTTTAAATCATTGTAACAGCTATGGATAAGGTTGTATTATCTTGACTGCCAAAGAACCTAAATTTTCAAAATTTAACTGGAGTCCTTTTAACTTAGTATAAAAAAAAGAGGTATATGTCTGGGGTTTTTTTTAATTGATTTTATTGTATTATTATTATTTTTAATGTTTTTATTGATTTGAGAGAGAGGGAGGGAGAGGAGAGAGAGAAAAAAAATCAATGATGAGAGAGTCATTGATGGACTGCCTCCTGCACAACCCCTCCCCCGGGATTGAGCCTGCAACCAGGCATGTGCCCTGACTGGAAATCAAACCGTGATCTCCCGGATCATAGGTAAATGCTCAAACTCTGAGCCATGCCGGCTGGGCCTTTAATTGACTTTAGAGAGAGGAAGGGAGAAAGAGAGAAAAACATTGATGTGAGAGAGAAACATCGATTGGTTGCCTCCCACACACCCAGACCAAGGACTGACCCCACAACCTGGGTATGTGCTATGACCAGGAACCAAACACTCCACCTTTTGGTGTATGGGATGACACTCCAACCAAGCCACACCAGCCAGGGCTCAGTTGTTTTGTTTAATTTTTAATTTTATAATTGGGTTTTAGGAGCCATTTAAACCAATACCAAGGAAAAACCTGCTCCTACAAATTCACTTCTAAAATATTTTAAAAGCTTACCCCATCTAGTTCCAAGAGGAGTTGGAGTGACAAAATCCAGGACCATCACCTTCTTGTTATACTTGGCTGCCTCCTGGAAAATAAAATTGTTAAAATGAGTTGGAAAGGTTAACATAACAGACTAGAAATGGGATGTTAAAAATCTATGCTATTTTTATTAGACTATTATGCCTAAAGCATAACCAGTTAGTAATACCTGGGGATTTTATATTCCAAGATCATTAATGCTACTTCAAGAAAAAAATTCAGTAATACTTAGATAATTCTAAGGGTAGCTATAAGAATACACAGATTAGTTACAAAATTGTCCATTAGCCGAAAGCCCTAGCATCCTCTTACATAATTCCACTCAACTAGTAACAAATTAAGCAATAATCTGAAAAGCATAGGACCATTTCTAAGCAAGTGGTAAGTAGCCAGTAAAACAGATTCATTGATAGTCTACAATCCTTGATTCAGCCTGTATCCTATAATATTTTTTAATGTACTTTTAAGTTTTACTTGTTTCTAGGCAGAATATTGGAGAAGTTTGTCTTTTGAAATTGTCATATTTACTAAAATTTTCACGTGAGGAGCCAATGAAAAAGTAGATGATATCTATAAGGTTTCCAAATCTATTTTAGTGGAATGATGATAGTGAAAAGTTCATTTTGAAGAGTATCCTTTGTATTTCTCAGAGAATAAGCTTTGTGCATTGGCAACTAGACCTCCATGGTTATTTGAAAGGACTGAGTCTGTGTGTCCTCCAAAACCACCATCACTTCAGTAAAATACCTATACCCAGTACTACTTCTTAGTCATTTATAGCAAAGCACTGCTTAATACCAGATACTGGCCTGCTCCTAATGTGGGCAGCTTCATTTGAATCTACTGTTACTGATTCACCACAAGCTACCAGGAGTATAAGCACCTCATCTTTTTAAAGAATCTCTTCAGCAGAATGAGAGTTCCAAGGGCCCCTTCACATGTGGAAAATGTATCTCAATTCAGGTCCAGGAGCCTCCCTCTTCCCTCCGTCATTTGTACACCCTCTAGCGAGCACCCCCAGGCCAGCTAGTGGTTATTCTCACAGCTCACAGTGTATACACAAGAGGCAAATCATGTTTACTAAGTTTAAGAAATCCAGCTGCTCTCCATCTTTCTATCGGGGAGGAGGAGTTGTGAACAGGGAAATCAAAGTGAAAAAAATTAATATTTATTAAGAATAAGAAATCTACTTAATTTCAAACCTTTTCCATACAACACCCTTATTATCAAGTCAACCAAACTTAAAATGAATGAAAATGTGTCCCAAAATAAAGAACATATAGTTTAACCTGGAAAATGATTTATAAGCTGGTCTCCTTAACATATTCTAGCCAAGTTAATGTGCAAAATGTCACAAGAGTGGCTCAAACAAATTCCACAGACACTCTGGAGAAGTGTCGTAGCCCAGATAACACACAAGAAGCCTTGCCTTAGCAGCTGCCAGTCCTCCTGAGCCCCCTCCAATGATAATGAGGTCATAGTCGTAGGACTCGGGAAGATCCTCAGAGCCATTCATTTTTAGTAGCTTTTGAAGTCTGCCGTCTTGATAAGCCTAAAGAAAAACAACGAAAAAGAAAATAATTTAACTTAAAAGCAGCAATGTCTGAAAAGTTTTGTGAGAAAAATCTTTCTTTAAAGAGAAGCAAAAGGAATTTTCAAAGGAAAACCTGTTGTTTGATTTCTATCACAGCACACAAAAGTAAGCATTCAACCTTCTCACATCACAGATAGCTACTTTGAAATGTCATCTAAGTAAGGTCCTAAGGGCCCAGCAAAATCAATTTAGGCCTAAATTAAATCTGATCAGCCCTTTTATCCTAGAACTTCCAAACCAGGTTTTAAATTAGGTTTTTAAAAACATTTGCACTATACGTTTTTAATAGAATCATTGATATAATTTGTCAATCATCTTTACTTTCTAGTCAAAGGTAGAGTAATGAGTGGGCCGCGGTCTTGGACGAAGAGAGGGCCTGGTAAATAGCAATTGAAACAGATTAGCCAAATACTTAATTAAGACTTTTCTACACTGTTTAGGTAAGGCACAAAATCTTGAAATTCAGAACTAAATCATTAATTGACATACACCTACATAAAAAGTTAAATGTAAGCCCTGGCCAGGTGGCTCACTTGGTTAGAGCACTGTCCCATATACTACAGGTTGTGGGCTCGATCCGAGGTTGGGGTGCATATCGGAGGCAACTGATTGATGTTTCTCTCTCATATCAACATTTCTCTTTCTTTCTCTCTCTCTCCCTCTCTCTAAAATCAGTGGAAATAAATCCTTGGGTGAGGATTTAAAAAAAAGTTAAATGTGAAAGTTTTAAATAAACAAAAAGGAGGGAGTAAATAAATACACACAACTCTATAAAGCTAATTTAATCTACCTAAACATGAAGCCTCCTGTATTGTATTTAGTATTTAGTTTCCATGTACTTGGCATGTAACAAGCTTTATAATATAACTGTTAGACTTTTAATTGATTTTAAAAAATCATTTCATTCCCCTAGTTTTTTCAGTTTTTTTATTGTTGACAGTATTACAGATGTCCCCCAATGCCCCCCCCTTCCCGCCTTCCCAGGCCATGCCCCATCCCAGGCCTTCACCACACTACTGTCTGTGTCCATTGGTTATGCATAAATGTATATGAGTTCTCTGGTTAATCTCTTCCCATCTTCCCCCCACCCCTCTGAGATATGTCAGTCTGTTCCATGTCCCCATGTTTCTGGACCTATTTTGTTCATCAGTTTATTATGTTCATTAGATTCCACTTATAAGTGAGGTCATGTGGTATTTGCCTTTCTCTGACTGGTTTATTTCACTCAGCATAATACTCTCCAGGTCCATCCATGCTGTCCCAAAGGGTAAGAAATCCTTTTTTATAGCTGCATAGTATTCTGTTGTATAAATGTCCCACAGCTTTTTTATTCACTCATCTACTGATGGGCACTTGGGCTGTTTCCAGATCTTAGCTATCGTAAATAACGCTGCTATGAACATAGGGGTGCATATATTCTGATTGGTGTTTCATTCCCCTAGTTTGTATACACATTGTTTACCATTTCACATTAGCTTTGAATACTGTTTTGGTGACATATTTAATAACACCTTTTATTAAAACAAAAATCTGTGCTAACATGAGGTAATGACTGGAAAAGGTAAGCACTGAAAAAAAAAAGTTTTTTAAAAATCAAGTTTTAACCCTAATACAAAAAAGCTCCCAAACTTACCAGCCTAGACTGTACATTTTTCTCCTGCCTACAATCAGATGTAGAGGGTAAAAGGCAGAGCCTGGGGTCAGTAGAACAGGATGCTTGGGATGTGGAAGGGGCTGCAGAGGAGGTAGGTGGTGGAGGAGGAGGAGGAGGAGGAGCGGCGCCGTGGCTGCCCCTTGGCGGCATGGCAGGTGCGCATGGTGGCCCAGGGATGGAGGGAAGAACACCTGGAAACCAGCAACAGTGGGGACAAGCCTGCATCACCCTGACCGTCTGTACAAAAGGTCTAACATGAGAGGCCGGTAAACACAGCCAGTATTCATCAACTGGCATTATGGCAGAGGCTCCTCCTTCAACACAAGGCACTGTGGGGGGGAAAAACAACTTGGTAATAATAGCCATTCAGATCAAAGGATCAATGTAAGCTTCAGATAACAAACATTACTCTCTAGTTGGTATCAAAGAGCATAAAGCTGACTTGTTGGTTTGAAAGAATTAATAAATGCAGCTAGATGTTCTTCTGGAAAATAACCTTTTTAATCTCAGTCTCATTTTATCTGCATGTAAGTAACACAGATGGTGCCAGAACACAATCACTGGCTGCCTAAGAAAACCACCCATTGTAATCACCTCCCCCAATGTATCTACTAGAGCAAAAGAAAATGCATTGTCATGCCACATACTTCCTCCAACATTGTTTATAATCTGTTCTGTGCTGAAATTCTGTATCAGACCTGGGTTCCTATGGTCCAAGGTTAAAGCCAAATTATATAAACCAGAGCACAGACTTTACAAAGAAAGCTCTGAGTAAGCCTGAACATTTTTAACTGTGTGAAATCAGTAAGACACAGGTAACTGAAGCATTCAGCTGACCACAGATCTAACCATGATGTCTTTAAAATTTAATCTAACTTTAAAGTGAAACTGTTGTCATTCAGCTCCAGGTAAGTGATTTCCCACTTGAAAGATAAACAAGATAGAAGACAGCTCCCCGAGGCAATGTAAGAAAGGAGCATACAGATGGAGGAGGAGAGAAAAATGCTCCCCCTTCCTCCTTCAATTACAACTGCTAGAAATAGTGGCTGCTGATCATAGCAGCTGATACAGAAGAGTTCTTAAACTTTTTAGTCTCAGGATCCCTTTATAACCTTAAATTAGTTAGGGCCCCAAGGAGCTTTGGTTAATGGGGTTTACTTATAATATTTAACATATTAAATATTGAAACTAAGAAAAATTTTAAAATATTTTAAATTATTAAAATACTAAATATCTTAAATGTTGTTAAACAATCTATTTAAAACATTTTTAATTAGAAGAGTGGAATTGTTTTATATCTTTGTAATTCTCTTTACTGTTTATCTTAATAAAAGGCAGCTCTTTCCTGTGTCCACTCTGTTGCAACATCACTGGTCACGTATGTAAGCATCTGGAAAACTCCATGGCAGACTTGCAAGAGAATTAAGAGCGAAAAGGACAAACAGCATCTTAGTATTATAAAGATATTTTTTACCTCAGGGTTTCCTGAAGGAGCCTCAGGGGTCCACAGAGGAATCCAGGCCACACTGAGAACCACTGCTCTACAAAGTAAGTATAAATACACACCACCTCACCTGCACCTGTTTGCTGAGCTTACATATTGGCTATTCTTTCCTCTGTTCCATGTGCCTCTCAGCAATGCCTTTCCCCCACCCCAGTAAAACATTGCTCCAGATTCCCCTTAAAAAGGCCAAAAGCAATTCAAGTGTGCAAAAAGAATACTGAAAGCAGTTCAAGTGTGCAAAACTAATATTGAAAGCAATTCAAGTGTGCAAAAAATACTAAAAGCAACTCACGTGTGCGAAAACAATGCCAAAAGCAAATCAAGTGTGCAAAAATAATACCGAAAGCAATTCAAGTGTGCAAAAACAATATTTTAGCCCAGAGAAACCAATCTTGGACTTTCAAACTCCAGAACTATAAAAGATAATAAATTGGTTTTAAACCACTAAATAGTAATCTGTTACAGCAGCAATTGGAGACTAATACACCTACTAAAATATAAATTCCACGAGAGCTGGGTCATACTCTGCCCAAAAATATGTTGGGTCATATTTTTCTCTAGTGCCTAAGAGCAGTGCCTGGCCCCATGGGCACTCAAATAGTTGAGAAAATTAACAAAGCACCAATTCCAACCGACTGGTAATGGATTTCCCAGAACAAAGAAGTAATGTCTAGGCTTAAAAGAAAGTGAATAAACCATGATAGAGATGTTCACTATGGAAGGAGATGGCAGCATGGATTTTCTAATCCTGATCTAGAGAGTAAGGCACCAATATAAATGCTCACAATGAGCCAGATACTGTGCTAGGTGTCGATTTTACATATATTAAACATGTTTAGATTAAACATGCTAAAGTGAGGATCAGCAAGACCAAAAGATGCTTTCCCGACTGCTAAATAAAAGGGTGGTAGACACCGGAAAGGGTCAGCACTCCTTTAAGTTTTTGTGAGAACTAATCTGTCTAGATTATGAACTGCGAGGAAGGCCAAGGATGGTGACATATATATACACACACACACACACATATATATGTGTGTGTGTGTGTGTATACGTACACCCATTTAATCCTCACAAAAGTCTTCCAAGCAGATGTCTTTCCCATTTCAGAAATGACAATACAGAAGCCCTTAGAGATTAAGAACCTTGCCCATGAGTCAAGAATGGAATCCAAGTCTGTATGATTACAAATCTTTTGCTTTTCTTGCTATACCATGCCCAGTTATTCATATTTAAAGTACCTGTCACACACATTTTTTAATTTTATCCTCACTATAAATTTGATAGGTATTATTTTCACTTAGTAAATAAAAAACTTAAGGTTTATAGGTTCAATAAATTTGCCCAAAGTCTCTACTAGAATGTTAGAGGGTTAGGATCTGATCCCAGGTCCTTTGAACAGAAAGTGGTAATTATATAACAAAGTTCTGGTAAAAAAAAAAGCCCCCCCCCCCCAATAATATTCTCCTTAACTTGTTGATTTTATTGAACATGTGAAGAAATTTAAGCCACTCTAACTACATTAGTGGAAACACGAAGGTTTGCAGTTTGGTTGATACCTAATCTCTATAATTAAATTATATATTGTTCAATTCTCCTTTTTCTTCAAGGTAAGCAAGCAGTTGTTTTAATTTCAAAGTGATGAGGCAACCCAGGTATCATGATAAACAGTAAAAACAAAAACAAGTGGTCAACTTGATTTGTATTTTAACAGCTGTAACTGTAGGACGACCCCAAACCTTCACATTCTCTATTAATGCTTTTAGTCATCACTAAGTCTCAAATACTCCTAGTAAAGACACTAGGCATTTAACAGAACAATCTGGTGGCAAATAAAGAACTGAGGCAAGATTTTTTTGCTATCATTTTAAGAGTATCTTTTCCTCAAACAGCAAATCTCTGGAAACCAAGGAACTCAGCTGGTAGAAAACATGCTAAAGTGAGGATCAGTGAGACCAAAAGATGCTTTCCTGACTGCTAAATAAAAGGGTGGTAGACACTGGAAAGGGTCAGTACGCCTTCAAATTTTTGTGAGAACTAATCTGTCTAGATTATGAACTGCGGGTAAGGCCAAGGATGGTGACATGCAGAACCTCCACTACAAATTGTGAACTCTAAGGGTTCATTTGCTAGGAAAATAATTGGCCAAGTATCATGAGAAATTTCTATTTCTGCTAAAAAAAAACCCCCCCAAAAAAAAACAAAACAAAAATCTTCACTATTATTAGTAAAGAACCTTACCCAAGATCTCTTCTTTCAATCTTGATAACATTCATTTAGTCTTTGGATGCCCCCTCCTCTGACCACACTAGACTTAGTAGGAAAATTTATCATTATTGCTATGCAAAATACTTATCCACCTGCTAAATAATGTTTAATGGCAAAATCCACCAGCACCAAAGATTAAATTCCTATAGGGATCAAGAAAAGAAGCTTATAAGCATGCTCACTGCACCTTCAAAAACTGTTTTCTTAAAGACCCAAATTTTCAGCAATAACCTCCAAGTGAGGCATTAATTTACATTTTTAAAACAACTGAAAGTAATAAAAAGAAAAAGGCATCTATGGCTTTATGAATAAATTAATCAATTGTTTCAGTTTAAACAGGGCCAGTCTGCAAGCACTGAAAGTCCTATTAAGAAATGCAAAATTGAACTGGGAACAAATATTCAAGGCTGTTACATAATGAAACATCACTGATTTCTGAAGGACACACAGTGTACTAGGAGAAATTACAAAGAGAAACTAGGGGCGAGAGAACAAATTAACCAAGTAGATAAAGACTAGAACTGAATGTTAAAAGATTTTGTTTGAAATAATTTGACAAAAATATCTTCTACCTCTGAGGATACTAAGAGACAAGGTAATTCAATTTTTGCCTAGTTTAACATTCAACTGGAATAGTTTTCAAAAAGATCTATGGTTCTCTGCTGCCCCAAGTTCTCACAATTCCCTATATTTGGCCTCCATGTCCTGTGCCTAGTATATCGTTCCCATCTGTGACCAATTCCTACTCACCTTCCAGCACTTAGTTGATGCCTTACCTACTACAGTTGATACTCTATTTCTTTTGAGTCTAATTCACAGGAGAATTATTTAGAATTATGGATACTCACTAACTAATCTTACTGAGTCCTCCTAGCAATGAAGCAAAGTACCTGTTTTGCTTTACAGTGTTAACACTAAATATTCAATACCCAACAGATAGTCTTTCTTTACCATTTTTTTCCCACCCACTCTTTCCCCAACCTAGTTAGGAGTCCCATATAGGATTCCCTTGGTTCCCTGTAACAGAAGAATACAGTATAACAGAGCATCATAACTGATTTTTGCAAATTATCAAATACCTTTTATGAAATTTGGAACTGATTTTTATTAATAAAATCTTAAAGGACACTCAAAAATTTTTCCATGAACATGCCAGTGATTTTTTTTATATAACAGAAGATCATGACAACCTTATAAACTACCAAGAAAAATACACTGCACAGTAAGACAATTTCTGATGTTCTTGAAAATACTTTCTCACTTTACAAGAGATACAATATGTGCTTCTGTCTGGATTTTACAATCTATTTTGGGATATTTTAGAAAAGACACAAAATGCTATATACTAAGAAAAATATTTAGTAGGAGTTTGTGATCATAGCCTCTGAAATTTCAAAAGTCGCCACAATATTTTTCCAGTCCTGTAAACTCAAAGATATAACTCCTTGTTTCCTGCCATGGAAACTGGGATCATTTTCCTCACCCACTTGGTTCATATTAATTGGCTCTAATATTGGCAGCCTGTCTTGGTCAAGCCTTATTCTTGCAAAACCATCCCTTATAATGAAAGAAACATAAAATATATTCTCCACAGTACGAGAAAAAGAATTTGGATCAATCACAAACTCGAAATAGGACACGGGAGTGTCAGGATACTTTCGAAAGTACGTTTGCAACAATCCCAAGATTCTTTCTACTTCTTTTTCTGTCCCTTCTTGATTACTACCCAGGTCCAGCCTCCTCAGCTTTGTAGGCATATCCCCGTTTTCTTCCACTCTGTGCGCTTTTTTATGGTGTCCAGGTCGCGGCTTTGGTGCGGAAGACTCTGACCTGAATGAACCAAAAATGAAGTGGAATGTTTCAGCTCGCGATATCCAGGCCGTCGCCTCCTCATGCACCGTCTCCCAGAAGGAGCGCGCGATGCTGTCATCGCAGCCACTCAGCGCATCACGTCCGTCGTCCTCCATCCAGTTTAGACCCACAAATATAAACAGAAAGTCACAAAATGCTACTTGATTAAAAAAGCTCATATCAGAGTTCAGCTGCTTTGCTTTCTCTTTACCCAAGTCGGACGCCAAAACAAGAAACTGGGCATCGAGAGCGGCTTCCCGCGTCCGGCTCACTCCGTCGAACAGGACGTTGGCTTCCTCCAGCGCCTCGGTTAAGCAGTCGCTCGCCGTGTTCACGATGTCCTCGCGGTTCTGCTGCACGCTGTAGATGAGCTGCCGGTACTGCTTGCGGATGTTCCGGCATTTCTCCTCGTCGGCCACAAGCTCCAGGAGACCGGGGTCTATGGGCGCCCCTCCGCAGCCGAGGTCGTCAGAGCCGCCGTCAGAGCAGCTGTCAGAGCCGCCGTCAGCCCCCGCCGCTTCCAGCTTCGGGGGCTCCTGCGCCGCCCGCTTCGCCGAGCGCGCACTACAGGGGACGGTGCGCACCACCGGCTCCTCTCCTTTCTCTTCGCCTGCCCTCCGGGAATCCTTCTCGTCAGACATGTCCGTGACGGGCGGAGCTCAGGCAGCGCTCGGCTAGCGGCCTTCGCAGGGTTTCCCAGAGACAACGGCGGCGGCAATTGAAGCGGTCGGAGCCGAGGAAGACGTCCGCCCATGCGCAGTGGCGGCGCACAGGAGGCC